ATATTTCATATATTTCTTGAAATGACAGAAAGGTTAATTTTGACAGTGAGTTTTATCCAATGCAAGATGTTTGTAATTTACCTGATTGCTTCTACCATAATTTCTATAATCAACTGATCAGGTGTGGGCTTGCCTTTCTTCAGGTAAGCGTATGCTCTTGCTCCAAGCTTTGCACGAGGAGTCGGCTAAAAATAAACCAAGGAGAAGAATGTATAACACGTAAGCAATGTAGGTGGTCATTCCACATTTATATTTATAATAGAATATGTTTAAATGAGTTTTTTTTCTTAGTACAATGCAGAGAAGCTGGTTAAAACTGCTCTCAGAATCAAACCACAGTTTTATTTCATTTTCGACTTAATCTAAATACAGTAGCAAAGTTTTTGCAATGTACAATATGCCTTATTCATACCAAAGATTACAATAGAGAAAAATATAGATATAAGTACATTTACAAAAGAATGGTAGAGGTTACCTAGTTACGTACAACTTGCAACATGCAACAAAACCTCACCAACATTTTTTGAACTAGTTCTATTTTCTGCCTCCTCACAAGACACAAAACATACCTGCGGCGTTAGCTAAACAATCACACTGTGTGTGCGCAAATTTTCAACTTATGCATGTGACCTACTGCAGGAAAGTTGTTGAAAAAGAATCTTAATCCACATACACATGGGTGGTACAAACCTTTGGTCCTTTCGGGCCACTCTTATACATGCTGACTTCAAAAGCTTTTTTCTCAGATGCTGCAGAGCTTTTGGTTTGTTTCTCCCTTTCCTTTGCTATTTCTTCTTTTGTTTTATCTCTCTTTTCGTCCTGTTCTTCAGACTTTTCTCCCAACTGATCTTCAGATATTTTGTTGGGATCTGGTGTTTCTAGAGTATCGACAGATATGATAGCATCACAAACAATAAACTTGGATGGAAACAAATGATTTTAAATGAACAAATGAACCAATAAAAAAAAGAGCAAGTTGGAATGCGCATGCGCGAAAGTGTTTTAATAATTAAACGCAAATGAACGAGTAAATTTGCGGACGGACGGGCGGAGGGACGAATGGATGGACGGATGGATGGACGGATGTACGGATGGATGGACGGACATTGTCTTTTCAAATACAACTACCTTTAGCACTCCCAACACTAACGGCAGCCGATCCCGCTGACACTACTCTGGATTCGCTGGCTCCTTGGGCTTCAGGCTTTGGACTCTCGATTGGTTCATCTGTTATGCTTGGTCTTTTGGATGCCGTAGCCTGAAAGATAACCCAAAACAGTTAAGCAACAGAAATCGTGGTATAAATAAAAAGAACACTGTTACACCACTACTGGCAAAGCCGTCTGGTGTATGTGGCGTCATAGACGCCATGTTGGATGACAACAACAATGCGGGATACGTCTTTGGTCCTACAAGAGCACTTTTCTTATGACTGAGATACGACACGGCACATGGCACGGTCAACAATTGACATCTATTAAACCAATCACAGCGCACGAGGTTACTGTTGAACCAATCAGAATGTCTGGATACGAACATTATGATAGGTCGAACAGAATTATTGAGAATTATTGGTTAAACAGAATTATTGAGTAAGATTTCAGAATCGCAGTAACCTTATCGCTCCTGAAAGTTAAAAAGTAAAATTACACCCCTGTCGTCAAAAACTAGACCATACCTGTAGAACTTTTACTTCGCCATCAACCTCTTCATAAACTTCCCCCTTCTTGTGTGCCTCTATTGCTTCCGTGACCAGCGTGTCCATAGACAGACGAACAACCCGATGATCTAAAATACATCACAAACTTAGCAATATCCATGTCATCCAGTTGGCACCCTAGTTGCGTAATGCTGACACCCTATGAATGGTAGTCTCGAAATCCACTATGCGCGATGTGAATCCAATAAGCGAAAGGTCACCACAACAATTTTCCCAAACTCTGTCTGCACGTTTTTACGGCATATTTTTCCTGTCTTCCGTGCTGACATCATTGACTTATGAATATAATACATTTTAAGCTTGGTATGCAACATGAAACAAACCATCATTAACCCATTTAACATTAACATTAATTTAACATTTAAAATTAATTTAACATCTCCCATTTTAATTTAATTTAATTTTTTTTTATTTTTAACCATCATTAACCCATTTTGAAATAGCACTATACGTAGAGAAGAACAAGTTGTAAAGCGCACACTCAAATATGAGAGAAAAACGGGAGAGAGAAACAAAAGGAAGTTCTCCGTATAGCGCGCGGTCACCTATGTAATGTTCATTATGTTTTAAAATCCTAGGAATAGCTGGCCACCCTAGCCTCCTCTGCAGGGTACTCCATATTTACCCCATACATTCTCCGTTGGCACCCCTGTGTTAAATCTTATGGCAGAGAAAAATAAGCCTGAAGCGAGGTGACGAGATGACTCCCGACTCTATACCATAAACGTTAAAATTCTTTCATATTAAAATTTTTGATTCCTCAGAGAATACATGAACAATAGTCATAATTAAAGAACAAAAACAATGTGAAAAGGATTATGGTCTAGAGACGGGGGTAAAACGTCATCTCGCTTCAGGCTTATTAGGAACGAGAAACGAGAGACATTTTTGTCCTCACCACAGGAAGCCCAAGGAGCAAAAATGAACCAAGGAGATGCCAGCGCAGGAGGCTATGGCCACCCTATACATAAAACTACCAACCATAATTGTTAACCGGAAACCTTGAGTAAAGTGAATACTAAACATGCAATGAACATGTTGATAACCAGATAACAATGGCTTAGTGTAATCCATCAATAGAGGTTATTATTTTCGCACGAGTTCACTTACATTCAGCAATTTTCTTGATGACGCTGGATTTACCACTGAAGAATTTCCCAAGGAAACAAGCTTTGATGGGAAACGGCGGTAATTCTGGAGGGGGAGGGGGTGGCTGAAATCATGAAGAAAATGAAATGTCAGATATTAACCCTCGCGGTCGTGTTTCTCGTACGGCGATCTGTCTTTCTTATGAGATCTCTAGCGTACTTCTAGATAGCGGAGTTCTTATTAGCTTTCATCTATCAAAAAAGTTCTAAGAACAGTGCAAACTAGGCTTGGTTTCAGCCGTGAGGTTGCCATTTTAGAGGATTGCGCGCGCACCGAAACCACCACGCTTGGAAATCGAGCCTTTTACAAAGTTCAAAAGTCGAACTTTGCATAAGCCAAACCTAATGACATCATTGAAGTTTGACGTTTGACCTTGAAAGCTTGATAAGACACAAGAAAATGTGGTACAGTGCTCGCCTCCAGCAAGAAAAGCGCTGTAATGATACATATGAATGAATATAATTCATGCAAAAAATCGTGGGCAAGAATTTAGCAGATTGAAAAGCAGATTGATATGATAAAAGAAGTTGGAGTCATTCTTTCTACCTGGGGTGGTGATACTATGTTAAACAGTCTTTGTACAATGTGACCAAGAACTGCATTGTCCTTGGGTGGGCACTGAATGTCCTGTCCCTCTCCGGGCACCCATTCACCGACAAGATTCTGGAAAGAAAGTAAAACAATGAGAAGCCATTCACCGAATCGAAATATGGAGACCAATTGAAATAATTATTGTTCTGTACTGACTAGCCTCCTGTTCACGTGGAAACACAAAAGCGTTTTCACATGTAAGAGAAGGTAGTAATTCCAGAACAATAGTTATTCAAATTGGTCGCCATGTTCCGATTTGGTTTATAAAACAAAGAAACGGGCGGACAAGCGGATGGATGGATGGTAGAGCCAACCAAATGTTCCGATAACCAGATGGTCGAAAAATTACAAAAGCGTAAAGCAAACAAATAATATGGGTAGAAAGAAAACTGAGAATAGCTAGAATTGTTAACAAAGGAACGAGCATACAAGCGAACGGATAACCGAAATCTCGTAAGAACGAGCAAACAAACAAAGGACAAAGGTGCAAATGCTAAATCAATCAATGAAAAAGCATTCACGAAAAACTGCAATTTTAAGACCGCACAACCCAAGCATAGTTTTCGATAGAGCTTATAACTGATTATGAGGAGAGGAAGAAGAGAAGTTTACCTTGTACTCCATGAAATCACCCTCATCAAGAAGTCTTTCCTTTTCGGCTTTAATTTCTCGTTCTTTTTCCAATTCTTCTGGAGATAATTCAGCTTCCTTCAAACAATAACAAAGAAAAAAGTAAAAATAGGATGCAGCAGTAGCGACAACAACATTATAATCAACATCAATATCATCATCATTATCAACAACAACAACAAAAATAAAAACAACAATAAACATCAACAATGACAATCATCATCATCAACAACAATCATCATTATCAACAACGACAAAAACAACAACAATTATAATCATCATCAACAACAACAATCATTATCACCACCAACAACAAAAACAACAATCATAATCATAATCACCATCAAGAACAACAATCATAATCATCATCAACAACAAAAACAACCCAAAAATAACAACCACAACACACTCAACTAATCCTTACCTTCTCTTCATACAACGGCAACCCACATAGAAAAAGATCTTTCCACTCTCGGTAAAGCTTGGCGGGAACCAGCCTGGAAATGAAGTTAAGAAGATGAATATCCATGCATATATTATCTCGAGGTTTCCTTGATACAATAATCATGACTTTGAGGACTTACTTTTCCGTCAACTCTCTGTATTCCCCAACCTTACAAGAGAAGTCTATCATCTCTAACAACATCTGAATCGGAGAAAAACAAAGAAAGTAAGATAAAAGTGAGGGAAAGGAAATAAATGAATGGGATAAGAAAGATAAAGCCACGCAACAAATATTACCCGAGATATGCACGCGTATTTTACTGAGGAATAAACTGCATGAAGCGAGCAACACCACTGGAGATATTCCTGTCCCTAACTGCTGGCTTTTGGACAGAATAAATCTGATCTCAAGTGCGTATGAGGTAGACAACGTGCGCGTATCCTACTAAGGAATAAATCGCATGAAGTAAGCAACATTCGTGGAGGTGTTCCTATTCCTAATTGCTGGCTTTTGGACAGCATAAATAGCATCAATCTGTTCTCAAGTGTGTATAAGGTAAAAAACTGTACATAGATATCTACCTGAGATTTGCACGCGTGTTTTAAAGAATCAACCGCATGAAGCGCGCAACGTCAGTTCTGGTTTTCCTAACCGCTGGCTTTYAATAGAAAACCTATTTGGTAAAATCCGATATCAAGTGCGTATTTGGTCCATACCTGCATACAGATATCATAGTGCTTGTTATATTTAGCTTGTCTGCGTTCATCTGCTAGTCTATCATGGAGCTCATTCGCCTTACGAGTCTCTTCGGCGTACTCTAGTTTAGCTTGTCGGCACATCTCCTGAAATACAATGCAACATCTATGTTAAGGAAGAGCCTACGTAGCAAGCAGTCGATGTAGTATATTTATAAAAATTCAATGAATCACACCTAATGCAATAGAATACAATAGACTCGTTTCGAATTCCAAATTACCGCTGTGTTTCTTGATTACAAACTCATTTGCACAGGGTTAGCCTCGAGTTTGTGCAGAATATTCACGTGTTCCAGTTAAGGCCCGAGTTTCAAAATGTTTGTATTGTTAAAGTTGTACATTCCTTACTTTACCGTTGGTATTTGTGAGTATTTAAACACTGATACGAGGCTAACCCTGTGCAAATGAGTCTGTAATCAAGGAACACAGCGGTAATTTGGAATTCGAAACTGGTCTATTGATTTTCTTAATACATTACATCAACTGAGTGCTACGTAGGTTCTCCCCACATGTTAATGCGCACGAATAAACAAAATTAATATTCCCGGTAGCAAGTAGAACAAATTCCTGTTCTAGCATTCCGATTGGACGAGTAACCATATGATGAACCTGCTACCTGATAATGCATGATTTCAAGCGTTTTTACCCGCGTCAGATAAGCAAGAAAATCAATGTGTTTTCATGGTAATATAGACAAACTTTATGGAAAGTGTCACCGGCAGAGTATGCAAAAAATGTTATGAGCATGATTTGGTCAGTTGAAGAAAATTACAAATAGGAAATATCGGCACTAACTTTTACACATTTACAAATTGTTTCAATTTTTGTTACGCGTTGGCTGTTCTTCCGATTATGAAATTTGCGAACATGCGTAGGTAGAGAGGCGGTACTTACCGCTTCTCTTTCAAGGGCATCATCAAAGTCCTTCAAYCTTCTCTCTGCGTACTGCTGCTCACGGAAGATTCTAATGTATAAAAAGATCAACCCAGAGGTAGTTACGATTGATAGTTCTAGTATGGTCAAAAAGAAGATGATGTAGCTATTTACCTATTCTGACGTATCACCTCTTTCTCATGACGAACCTAGGTTGACAAAACATCTTAAAGTTAGCAAATGTTTCCATAGCAACTTGTTGCCATGACAGCAATATAACCCTTCATACCTGCATGAGCTGCACAGCAATTCTTCTCTCTTGCTGTGACTGGCGCATTAGTCTATTGACAAGCATTTCTTCCCGATGGGCTTCCTGTGGTGAGAAGGTAAATGTCAGACGCTCGAAAGACCTTTTCTTTTTCCCATTTCAAACCACGTGTCATTCTCTTGCCGAGAATAATATTCAGTGGTTCGGGTTACCTCGGGGATGTCCTGAAAGAAGGCTTCAGAACCATAATTGAGAATAATATTTTTTGTTTTAGTTGTATCCATATTCATGTGTCTTCTCATGAACAACTATTAAACAAAGAAATGATTCTCTAGGGAATGACACGCCCAAGCCGAAAAAAGTCTATGCCTGTCCAAGGGGATAACCACAGCAAATGCGTCCCATAAAGTGTTTCAAAAGTGATTATATGTCCACATGAAGTCTTGTTTGTTTGTACTAGCAATGTATTCTCTACCTCTTGTGCTTCATGTGCCTTTAGYTGCTCCACAAGAACACGGCGACGCCTCTTCTCTCTTTCCTGCGGTAAAATGACAAGAATGTGGTTGCTTTTCTTCTTCAACCAAAATCTAACTTTTCTTTCTTACAAATTGATAATGATAATGTCGTTTACGTTATTGATTTTGATCAAGCTCGTTACCAGAGCCGTTCGTTCTTACTGTAACAAATATTTCGTTGAGCATGCGCAGTAAGAAATAAGGGCTCTCGGAACATGATTGAATTTTGATGATGATGATGATGTGGTGGTGGTGATGATGATAACAATGATCACATTAACTTCAAAAGTTATCGATGCCCTGAAACAGCCTATAGGTTGCTCTTTTAATGATGACAATGATAATGGTGTTTATGATGATGATAACAATGATCATGATAACTTCAAAAGTTATCGATGCCCTGAAACAGCCTCTAGGCTGCTCTAATAATGATGACAATGATAATGGTGTTTATGATGATGATAACATGCCACTGACCTCTCTAGCCACCGCGTCYTCTTCAAGCCTCGTCCTAATCTTGTTAATATACTCTTTGTTTGCAGCAGGCTAAAAACAAACAAAAAAGTAAATGAAATGGGGATCCTATGGAACGTTTTTACTCAGTCCATAGAGTGAACTGACAACAGAGATGGCAGCCAGATCGATGTACCTAACAAAAAATACCAGTGACAAAGTTATTGTCTAAAGTACACCAATATGGCGGGCTGTGACGTCATGTGTAAAACGTTCTAYAGACCACTTGCATTTGACGCCAAAGAAACTCAGTTTGGAGGGGAAAAACAAAAAAAATTGCTCTTCTGAGAACTGGAAAGCTTTGTTTTGCCCGAGCTGCTTTCCGCCGAACATGCTGTAAGGGGTATATTCCTAAAAATGAGCTTCATGCTGGTAGAAGACTTTACTAAACGCATGATCATACCTTGATGACAGACAAGGGGTCGGGGAGCTGTTTAGCTGAGTCTTGACGTATGAATACTTCGACATCTACTGATACATCTCGACTAACGCGTGGTATACTGCAAGCAAAAGATTAAAGGAAGAAATAAGAAAATAAGAAAATGTAAGATGCCCATGTGTGAAGGAAATATCATAAATCCTTAAACGTATTGACGTAAAAATCATAGCGGAATCGATACGCGTATTTTTACCCCTAAAATTCCCATGATGCGTAGGAATCTTGTGATAATGAAATCCCCAAAAAGTGAGAAGTAACGTTTTCTATACTATAAATAATAATGATGATGGTAGTTGTGACGGTTGAATGGAAAATGAATGGCTAGATGGAATGGGATGGATGGGATTGGATGAGACTTGATATGGGATGGAAATAAAAGTGGTAACTATATAACTTACTCGTCCAACGCTGCTGGGCTAACAGGTGGAATAGTCGCCTTCATGCTGGCTTCAAATGCATCAATATTGGCTTTAACTTCCTATTTGCACCACAAAAAAAAAAAAAAGATTTTGAATTATCACGTATCTTTTCTAAAGACAACCGCACAAAACAAGATAAATTGAATTAAGAGCAAACATACCTCAGCTTCGCGCTGTCGACGTATCTCGCCTCTAGATTTCCCAGATTTCTGTTCACAGTGATTATTTTTAATTAATGATAAGTAAAAAAACGTGAAAATCTTTCTAATTTTTAACTCGAAAATTGGTTTTAGCGAGGAGCAATATAAAAGTCTAATAAAGGCCTCTCTACAACACTCAACAAGAAAATGCTGGAAGACAACTTGTACGATTTTGTTGACAATATAACCGTATCTCAAGTGTTGTGAAAACGCACGTCTGCTATCAAAAGACGTTTCTCGCATGTTTTTCAACTTCTTCAAAAGATTCCGTTAAGGGGAAACTTAAGTTTAGAGCACTTACCTTTGCATCTGGTGGTTTTGGAATCTTGACCGTTGCTTCGCTATAATGGAAATAAATGCTAAATCATAACTGGGTCGCACTTTCATTGGTTAAAGAATTCCGTTAAGTAAACTCCTGTGTCGTGCACTATACTAATGGGCCACCCCTTGCCACAGTGGGTGTGGTCTTTTCATAAGTAAGAACTGCTCGTTGCTTTTTTCAAAGTCTTTGCAATTTTTGTTTMACAAAAACAGTTGATTCACTTTCTTTCTACCTAGATTTCAATTGTCTGACGTGTGTGATATAATTAAGCCGRAACTAGACTATACGCAGATATCCCCGAAGATTCAGGGCATCGCTCTTTAACATCACGTTTAAGTGAGTCCTTACTTACCGAATCTTGTCCATCATTTCTTGCTGCTTATTCCTGACTTGACGTGACTGAAATTACATATAGTAATAAATAATACAGGCCAAGGATAGCGTAAAATATGTTTTCATATTCTTCGATAATGTTCAATAATGTTTCAGTCTACTGAGGGGGGGGGGGAGGGGTGTTTATCTGGATCATTACCTTTTCTAGGCCTCTGATTCTTTGTGCTTGTTGGTGTTTTCTGAATTTTTCTTCTTCTTCAAACCTACAAATAAAAATAGACTTTTAGGCATGATACTATGACAACCTTTTGATTACTAGTGCTCTGTACCCTTTAGACTTGGTCCTATTCCACCTCTGTGAGACTGATAGAGTGGTCATGAGCGAAGCCAAGTGGGAAAAAAAGCGATCATCGAGGTCACGGGAGGACAATTTGTTTCTCTTGCAGGATTTTCATTCGTGTTTCGTGCAAATAATGGCGCGTATTTCTGTAGCGCGCGCTAAATTTTCGTACGTTTCTAGAGAACTYGAGCATAATTCAGCGCCCCGTTTTTGGGACGCTAAAAATGGCGGGAAATAATTTCGGATAAATCCTTCCTAGAGCACACAGCTCCAGCGCGTTTGATAACAGTTGCGTTGCCTGTGCTTTATTCTGCCCGCGTGAAATACTAAGTAAAAAGGACTTTGCGAAAGTCTAGCTCTGCATCTTCAAAAGTTAAAACCAAGGGCATATGCAGGAATTCCAACATTTGTCACTCCCCACTCACCTCATTAAATCATCTCTCCCTTCAACCAAAAGAAATGAACTGGCAGAGGGAAGTGGGGATACAGACACCTTAAAGACATGACTCCCTGGCCACACCCTTCTAACCCTCCAATACCAGCAGCATAAAGTGATATACCAGTGAAAATGCCGTTTCTTACTTTGCTTTGAAAGCCAGTTCTTCCTGTTGTTTTTGCTTTGCTTGGTACCTCTGTACAAGGTTTTCAAAGTTGAGGTCTACTTGACGTTTTGTTAACTGCTTCAGTCTCTGTGGATTTACACATGATTAAGAAAACTGCTTGTTGATGTTGAGTCATATTCAATGACAGGTTACATGAAGCTCTTAGTACAATTATATATAACAGAATTGTTTGCAGCCTCAACACATAGTAGAGTTTATAATTGTACATTTAGTTTTCAACAGCATGAAGACAATCAGTAATTTTGCAAACTTTTTATTTCAAACATCAAATTAAAGTCACTCTTTTTAAAGGTTAAGGTTAATTTAATTTATATCTGTATAATATTTTCTATCCTTTTTTAATATATAAAACCAAAAGTACCTTTATGGCATATTTGGAACTTGCAATAAAATGCCTTTAAGAAGAGGATGTATTATATACATCATTTGTTATGTAATTTACAAATTTTGAGAATATTTTCCTATCATCTACAAATGTCATTACAGATGTTAGCACTTCTTACAAAAAATTCCCTGACCTCTGTAAAATGTTATTTATAATTTATGTAGCTTATAAAATTACAGTCAACTCTCGTTACAGCGGACACCCTCGGGACCGTCACTTAGCGTCTGTAATAGCAAGCGTCCGCAATAGGGAGAGTTAATTTTGGCCATTCCTTTGTCATTATTTTTGGCCGGGGATTTTTCTCCTATCCGCAATAGCAAGGTGTCCATAATATCGGGGTGTCCACAAGGCGAGAGTTGACTGTATGTGTTGTTGAGAATCCCTTTGAATCTAGGAACCAGGCATTAAGTTATGACACATGTAGTTTGATAGTTTAGATTTTAGAGAGTGAATAATTGAGTACACTAACTTATATTCTGTTCTTTACTAAATTAAATAAAGCCTTATGCCAATAAATATTATGCTCTATTTATTTATCTTTYTTATCAAAATAATTTACCCCTCTGTTTCAAACTGGCATCTCAAGTGTCGTATAACAACATCAACATCACTAACAAAGTTCATAACACTCTTTGAAGTCTCTAARATATTTTTCATCACTTTCCTTGCATCTTTAGCTAACCGTTTATCACTACTTAGTTCCTTAACTTCAGCGATTAGAGACTTAGTATCATTGACCAAGATAACAGAGATTTCTTGTAAATCCTTAACTACACCTATGACAATATCCTTAACAGTGTCATCTATAGCTTCTAGTATTAGCTCTCTTGATAAGCTTTGGACTGCACTGTCAAGCAGGTCCTTTGTGCTGAGAACTGCAGCTTGTAAAAGGATTTTCTAGTAAGGATAGACAAGAAATTCTCTGTTGGTTAAAGTGCATTTAATTGTTGATCATTTTTATTTGACTGTTTATGGTATTATGATCTTAACACTTATAATTTATATTTACCAATTACTTCTCACATATAGCTATCAAATCTTTACCTAAACACATCTTCTAAAAATAGATTTAGACATTTCATTGGTAACTTCTATAATGCTTGAATGACAATTATCTTTTGCAACATTGTTTCATTATCATTTACAATTATGTTATACTAAAATTTATCATAGGTTTATCATTACATTAATACAATTGAATTATTATATTTTGCATTTGTAGAAGCATGCATTTTTAAAATCTTATCAATAACTGTTTCAAAGTTTCTTATAGCTAATACAACTCACCTCTTTATACATGCCACTTTCTATGCTTTCAAGCTTTACTGGACCACTGGGTCTCATTGTTTCCATGGCAACACCTGTAAGTCCCATTTTCTGCAGGCAAAACAAACATTAAAAAGTCTTAGTTCTGCAGCATTAATTAGGTTAGCGTAATTCATTAGAGAATCCTGTAAAATAAACTTTACACTGAAAATAATAGTTAGATACAACCACTAGTGGAATGTATACTGTTCTGATACAGCACTAGTGATTGTATCTAATTAGCATATGAATTCAAATGTTCCAAAGGATTTATGAATTATTTAAAGCATATTTCACAAGTTGTCCATATTGTATCAGAAAATTATAAACATATTGTAAACATTACTTACATTTTTCTTCCCTAGTGTTATGAACAGCTGATACAGGAGTCTTGTGACAACGCTGTGGTTCTCATTCATAACTGCATGAGCCTGGAAAAAGAAATATTTTTGCAACATAAAGACCTCTTCAAACCACATGGCATTCCTTGTGTATAATGGTGGTTCAAGAGAAGACACAGGAATATACATGTGACCTAAACAAAGAATCTTATTCTCAAGAGAATGACATATGGTGTGGAATGGGAAACATAACCCAAGATAAAGTCTGCTCAGGTCTCAATATTGTCTTATACCAGAAGATGAGAAGGTTCAAAGAACCAGATAAGGTCTGATTGTGGTTTCACTGAATTCATCAAGTGCAAGTACAGAGAAAGGAGACAAAAAACAAACAAATTTAGAATGTGTAGTTAAAATATCCATACCCTACCGACTGTGGGAATTGGGAAGGGGAGGAGGGGAGTCAGAGAAACAACAAAATTACGAAGCTTGTCTGGAAGAAAATTGGAAGTTTCTAGGGGGTAGTGGGTTTATTCTCTTACAAATTCCCTCCATGGTGGGTATGGATATTTTCTGGAACTACACAATCATTAAAATTTTCATATATACTTACTATATTGGTATCATATGGAACCTCCAGCAGCTTTAAAGTAGGCTCCAGTCTTGTGAAATTATTCAGCTTAGAGTCAGCCGTACTAAAGAAAATTATAAAGACATGAGTAACAGCTTTAAGTTGCCCCTTGGAATTTGGTTTTTCACTGGTGCCAGTTAACTTAGCAAGTACTCCCTGGGCCAAGTTTGCATAACATGAAATGAGTAGTTGGTATAGTATCGGCTAAAGTATGTGTAGGAAGTAGCACTCTGCTATACATCATGCTTCTCCTAATCATTTTCTCATGCTCTGCCAACCCCTGCGTGCCTTATTACTGCACACAGCTTGTGCATGCATTTTTTATATCCTTCATTAATTAAAAACTGCAACAATAGCCTGTAAGCAATATTTTAAAAAACTCTTGAATATAATTAAATATTTTTGGCCAATTTAAAATGTGAATTAAATACATTGTATATGTAAATGTAAATTAAACAAGCATACTTACATGCTTTGGGAAAATTCTGCAAAGTCGTTTTGCAAAGCATGTTTCTCAAGGAGCTCCCCTAAGAGATATCCCGTTGCAAACTCCTTGGCAAAATTGAAATGATCTGAAGAGAAAAGCAGTAAATCATTTGTCAAAAAATATAAAAAATACGTTACTTATTGATTAAGTAAACTTAGGATCCCCTTATAGCATAAAATGAAGTACTCCAACAGTATAAAAAGAATGAACTATTCCGCAAAGTCAAGAATCTTGTTTCACATTTTATCTTAGGAAAAGACCATTCTATCTAATTCAAATATTCGCCTTTTCTAAGCAAGAAAAATCAACTTACCAATTTGCCGGCTAAGCCCGACCTCTTCATTGAGCCAACGGCACAATATTTCTGTCATAATGAACGGGTTTTAGCAGTATTTTTGGGGGTTTTCCTGTTGTATTTTCGACTATGATCCGGCGGCCATTTTGCTTTCTTCTTCAAATTAAGTGTGTTACCATGACAACTCTTTTCCCACCGTCAAAACAACTGGTATCCAGACTTCGCACGGTAAAAAATTTACATTTTAACTGGTGCTCAGTCTCTTCTTCACGCTCGACAGCAGGTGAATTAATTTGACTGAATATAAACAAAGCAGAAATTCAGGGAAGAGAAATGCTAAAATGGCTACCTTTCTAGAACCACTGGGTAAATTAGCCAGCTGGGCTGGTAGCTACTGGATTCCTACGTCAAGGGAGAAACTCGAAGATGCGGAAGGTTTGATTTTAAAGCGAATCAAGAAGCCTTGGGAAGGAAATTTTGTCAAAATTGGGGAAGGTGTTGAGATCTGGACTTTGAAAGTGAATAATGAGCCAACCAAGAGACCACCTTTGGTGCTTATCCATGGATTTATTAGCGGTGTGTGTTGGTGGGTGCAGAACTTTAATGTGTTGAGTGAAAGCCATACAGTTTATGCTATTGATTTGCCCGGTTTTGGCCGAAGTTCTCGCCCGGAATTTTCGCCTGATCCTGAGAAAGCTGAAGAGCAATTCGTGGAGTACCTAGAAAACTGGCGCAAGGCTGTTGGCCTGGAGAGGTTTATCCTTCTTGGACATAGCCTTGGAGGGTATTTAGTTACAGCTTATGCCCTGAAACACCCTGAAAGAATTCAACGTTTGATCTTGTCCGATCCTTGGGGATTTCCCATCTTGCCATATGGTTTAGTAGACCGCCATCCAGACGCACTCTTCAAGTACGATCTACTTCCTAAGTGGATACGGCTGGGAAATTTCTTCTCCAATGCCCTAAATTTTCTCTCCCCCATCCGTATTTTTGGCCCCTTGGGTCCTTGGCTTGTAGGGTTGGCTCGATTTGACCCAAATAAGAGAAAATCCGAGCTCTGGAAAGACAACACCGTGTTTGAATACATCTACCACTGCAATGCCCAAAACCCAACTGGGGAAAATGCCTTCAGAAATATGAATTTTCTGTTGGGATGGGCTAAGAGTCCGATGATAAAACGAGTGAAAGATTTAGATAAGGGCCTCCCTATATCTGCCATGTACGGTTCGGGGACGTTTTTTGATCATCGTACAGCGTACGAATTAAAATGCATACGTCCAGAGAATAGTGTGGATGTCTACATTGTCCCAGACGCCGGACACGACATCCACGTTGACAACGCAGAAGAGTTCAACAACATTATGACTGCAATATTAGAAAAAAGCTCCAGGGTACTAGAGGAAGACGAATGGATGGCTATCGAGAAAATCGATGAACCAAATTAAAGGAAAAAACCTTAACATTTTAAAAACATGTACATTTGAATTTATTTAGTACATGTAAAATGTGCCATTCTTATGCAAATTGCAACTCTAGCTGGTACATGTTTTTTTGCATTTTAAAAAGTTTTATCGTATTTTTTCTTAGATGTGCTAGTCCAAAGTCCAAAGGTATTCGTAGATTCATTAAAAAACAAAACTAAGGCACATGCATTTTTCATTCGATAGACAATCCAAATGTTTACAAGCTGTACATACATTAGTAGCAAGAAGCAAGTGTCCAATAGTGTGACAGTATTTTGTTTAGTGTACGTCAGATAAGCTGTATAATATCAATTTTATTCAATTTCTTATTTATGTATTTCATGTACTTGCTGTATATATTTTACTCCCTTGCTATGCCAGTACTTATATTTAGGCAATATGAATATGTATCTGGAACTAAGCAGTTGATTAGACAAAGAACTATGTACTGAAGAACTTTGAACTTTATCATGTTTGAAATTGGGTTATGTTCAAGTACTCTAAATCTCTTGGAGTGGTTTTCAAAAACCTAGTGCGTATGTTACATGTAGTGGACCATTATATGTATAGTTT